TGTTAACTTTTAGCTCAGTTACCTCTATGCATTCTATTACCTATTCAGACATTTGATTCCCATTTTGGTTACCATCTCTTGGGCATTCAGAGTCAATCCCTTCAGTAGGCCCCATGTCAGTTCTAACTTTATCTTTGTCAGCTTCTTCTCCAGATCCGGATTCATGACACAGCCAGACAGCATGCTGTAGCAAAATGCAAGCATATCCTTGACTCCAAACAAGCTTTGTTGTTGTTGTTGCTACCTGATTGAATTATGATAATATACACTACAGAGAAGGGGAAAAGTTGATATCCCCTTTTGTTTTAAAATTGAATTTTGATCATACGATGAAAACCTGCATCTTGCACTCTGGAAGAGGAAGTCATCATAGAACCTTTCCTACCCCAGAATGACCCATCTGTGAAAACAGAAGCAAATTAAATTTATTTGTCTGAAGGATAATAACAATCAATGACACCACAGAATTAGTCAATGTAGATGGTCAAGAGGATGAAAACTGTCACAACACTGTTGCTCTCAATGGTCCTGGAGAAAAGCAGTGAGGGGATAAATAAATATAGACAAAAGACTAAAGCTGAGGTCAGGTAAAGCTCTCTCCTGATGAGAGAAGAGGAACTTCACAACCACTTTGGGGATATCAGTACATGGTCTCACTATGCAACTCGGACTCATAGTGATCCTCCTGTTTTCAGCCTCCCCAGCAATGGGATTACAGGTATGCACCATCATGCCCCAACTAGTCACTGGCTCAGCACACCCAGGGGCAGGCCAATGCACCATGTGGGACCAGGGATCAAAGCCTAGTTCCTGTACTTGCCAAAGCAGGTGCTTAGTCCACTGAGCTATCTTGCCAGGCCTATTTCTACTTTTAACAAAGTTAGTATCACACACACAGGGTGACTGGATTTGTCTCAGGCAAGATGTTTTTCTCAGGACTGAAATATTTCCAGCTTCAGCTGCACCTTACATATTGTTTTTTGCCTTGGGATGGTGACTAGACAGACCCCTTTAAGGTCTGTGTTACTAGGTTTCTTATTTGAATATGGTCATTATGGGCCATAATGTTGTTTTCTACTAGGACTTGGGATAATGTGACCATGCATAACTCGAGTTGCACCCTGGGTTTTTTAGAAGTATGTTGACTGTGATGTTCTCCTAGTCAGAGGACCACACAGTACCCTGCAACTCAGCAAAGATTTTTAGAGCTACAAGTTCCTTGAAAATGTGAGATTGGAGTCAAGTGTTATTCTATGAAATGCTTCTCTGATGGGCTGTTAACTCCCAATACAACCAAGAAGTGGTCATTCTTTCTTCTCTTTTTTAAATAGGGTTGAACAGGAGTATCAATCTACTCATAGAGGTTGGTAAATGTTCAAATAATTAGGGCTTACCAACAGAGACCTACTGAATCTAACAGCTAATTGATGTTATACAATTAACTTAAAGGGAGATGTAGTTCAGCCAATTAAATCTTTAAAGTTACATGTGTACCTGTAACAGTTGTTACGTTCTAATTCTTTATTTCAAAATAATGGAAATTGATGTACACATGGGATTTGTGGTTACCAATGATATGAAAAAAAATTGTAGAGAAATCATCAGGAGTGTGTCCTCAGTATTTCAAGTCAGAACATAAGGCTGAGAGTTTAAGAAAATTTTGTTCAAGATTTCCTCTTGCCTATGCAATAGGTAGCTGAACACGAAGAAGTAAACACAAGCAATCATGCATTGAATAAAAATGTTAAACAGTGTCTTGACTATTTTATTCAAGTCATTAAAAATGAGTTTTAGTTTGGTAGATTTATCAGGATAAAATGGGGGAAAATATGAGTGTCAGGAGTGAATAAATTTAGAGTTTTCAGAATTGTAAGTGGCTGTTGAACGTTTCTCATGAATTTGTAACTTATAAACAGTAGGATTTGACCTACTTTGCATGCAGGTCCACTCGTTTAGGGATTAGGCTGTCCAATAAGTTGCTGGCTGCATCTGGGATGATGTCTTTGGACTGGTTCAGCTGCAGATGGTGACAGCAGAGCAGCTCCTCCTGTGTCTGGCCCCTCAGCTGCTGAGATGCCGTTTCAAATACTTTGGATACTCTTACTAGGAACTAGTAAGACCTTACTGTAATATGACCAGGTTTTTAGTAAAACACTGTGCTTACAGGCATGCATCACCATGGTCAGACTCTGGCCAGCTCAGTGTGCCCCGGGGCAGGGCTGGCGTGGCGTGTGGCGCCAGGGATCAAACCCGGACCCTGAACTTGCCTAAGTAGGCACTTTCGTTCGCTGAGTTATCTTACTGGCCCTTTTATTGTTTTATAGTTAATTAACAATTTACTTTTTAAGGGTGGGCCTGATAGCTCAGCAGACTAAAACACCTACTTAGGCAGAATGCAGTGGCCAGGGTCCCCAGCCTGCCATGCCAGCCCAGCCCACAGGACATGCTGAGACAGCAACTGAGACTGGGCATGGTGGCACACACCTCCAGTCCCAGCACTTGGGAGACTGAACACAGGAGAATCACTACGAGTCCCATCTATGTAATGAGACCCTGCAGACCCTGTAGAGTCTCCTAAATACAGGAAAGAAAAAAAATACTTTTTATTATCTGATTGTGGCTGTTTATTTAGATTATTGTTACAGATCAAGTTAAAAATGGCCAAATGGGGCAAGAGAGATAGCGCAGTAGAATAAGTGCTTGCCTAGCAAACACAGTCTTGAGTTCAATCCCCGGTACCGCAAAAAAAAAAAAAAAAAAAAAAAAAAAGATGGCCAAATATACACTTTTTAAAAAAACATATCTGTTCTAAAACTTAGATTTTATACTTGGTTATGATTTTCCAATATTAAGAAGCATCTCTAGGGGAAAATGAACCCTTCCTTGTACATGGTTGGTGGGACTGTAAACTTGGACAGCTGTTATAGACCTCAGTGTATAGATTCCTCAAAAATAAATAAATAAATAAAAATAGGAGTTCAATCTCTGGTACAAAAAATAAATAAAATAGAAATTCCACTTGACCCACCTATTTCCCTTCTGGGATCCCTCCTGAAATAGATAAAGCCATCGCATGACAGTGTAGAGCAGCACAGCTCATAATAGCTAAATCTGAGAAGCAACCTATATGTCCATCAACAGATGAATGGATAAAGAAAATGTAGTATTTATATACACATATACTTCTCCATAAAAAGAAAGATAAACTTGAGTCATTTGTAGGAAAATGGATGTACCTTGAGATCATACTGTTAAGTGAAATAAATCAGACCTACAAGCTTAAATGCCACATATTTTCTCTTATGAGAAACCTTCTCTCATGAGAGATGCAAAAATATAAACAAAGACCTACAGGGCCAGGGAGATGGCTCAGTGGAATAAGTGCTTCCCTGGCACGCCCAAGGACCTGAGTTCAATCCCTGGTTCCACCAAAAAAAAAAAAAAGACCTACATAAAAATAGGTAATAGGAAATCCATCTTTTGTGAATGGGAAAGAAACCAAGAGGTGAAAGGAGGAGAACAAAAGGAAGAGAAGGGGGATGGAAAAGAACTGAGACTACTGTGCACATGTTTCAACTCCCCATGAAGTATGTAGTCACCATTATGTGCTGCAAACATGTTTCAATAAAAATTATGAAAAGAAACACTTCTACCCACACAGTTAAGAGGCCCCATGTTTGTTTCATGACCCTAGCTATGAGCAAAGTAAAGCATTACTAAAGAGACAGGCCATAAAAAGGATCATGCAAAGAGCAGCAGCCTCTCCCAGGGTGACAGATACACGGGACTCCACCTAATTGTCCATTTCAAAATCCACGAGCTAATGTTAGCAAGCACCAGGAAAAGGGTGGGAGGTTGAACAGCTAAGGCACAAGGTATGGACCTTGCACTTGCTCACACCCACATATTTTGAAATGGGTGACAAGATGGAGCCCTGGAAGCTTGCCATATGGGAGAATTGTTGTTCCTCACAAGATCCCTCTTAAGGATGGTCGCTGCAGAAGCTTACGTGGTGCTCTCCAGCGCGGGGCTCCTGCAGGTCATGTTCCCCAGGTGCATGGCTCCGTTATACTTGCAACTGAGAGCACAGCTCCCTGGACACTATGCCCTGCAGTCTGTCCCACGCACTCCCATTTGCAGAGGAAAGATCTGCACAGGTTGATGTCCTATGCTCCAGAGTGCCCTTCTTTGACTTTACAGAACAGAAAAGGCAATTGATCCAAAGTAGCTGCACCTAGGACTCTTGCCCTTCTTGTTACCTTGCTTTATAGCTCAAACACAAACATCGTTTCCATGAAATCCTCAGCAGTGGAATGAACTAAAAGGCGTATTGCAGAGCTAGATTCATGTATCTTAGCCTTGAGCGCTCTCCTAACCTTGAGCGTCTCCTGCCCTCTGTGAAGCTTTGGTTAGGTGCCTCCACCAACGCTCCTCTCCATATACTCATCAGCAGATTATTGTTTTAACATTCTCAAGGAATGAGGACCAATCCAACGGTGCAGGTGGCTAATGTCTTGGCTACAGATACTACAAAGAAGTGTAGCATTAGATACTACAAGGAAAGTCCTGCCTCCTGGGAAGGAAGGCAGCCCCTCGAGGACCCCTAGAAGGTGCCCAACCGTCAGGTTTGTTGTCCACTGAGCACAAGCAGTGAACGAATGTGCGAGCGAATTATGTGACATTCTAAAGTTAGCCAACAACCCTTACCCCCAAAAAAAGTGGATTCTGTTCCTGGATATGCCGCTGGAGCCTCTTCCTGCTACAAGCGATCTTCCCACTCAAGGTAATTGTTTGGCTGGGTGTTCAGAGTCCTCCCCAAGTGCTGCACAGTGCAAAGTCACCCTAAGTCCACCTAGATGACCTGGGAGCCTGCCTTTCCCGGGAGTGCCTCAGAACCCGGACATCTCCAAGGGCCGGCCAAGAGCACGCAGCTGGAGAGACTGGCGGGGCGGGGAGGTCAGGTCGAAGAGGACGCGGGCGGGGCGGGGCGGGGCGGGGCGCGGAAGGCGCCTGCACCTGCTACCGCTGGGCGCTTGTCACAGGCGCTGGCTGCGGACTCTCCGAGCACCCACAGGTCAGACGCCCACTGCGTCGAGGGGTGCAGACGCGGAAAGCAGGGCAGGGCGGGATGGGGGAAGGGAAAAGAGGAAAGGAAAGGGGAGAAGGGGGAGGAGAGGGAGGGGCGGGGGTTCTCAAGCTGGGCAAGAGGGCTGGGGGTTGGGGGGAGACTCCAAGAAGAAGCCTGGGACAGTAAGGCGCTCAAAGAAGGCTCGGACTGGGAAGACGCTGAGATGGGGTGGAGTCGCAGAGGGAGGCAGGGGACGGGCGCCTGAGGCCAGGGTCCTGCGATTAGCCTCCCTCGAGCGACCACAAGGTGTGAAGCCCTGGCCTCCGGCCCACCGGTCCGCGAGGGTGGCGCCACCGGGCGCAGGACCTCGCGCTGTTTTCTGCCAGCGTCGCTGTGGGCGCCTGGACCGCTGTCGTCGCTCCTGGTTAGTGCTGATCCGCAAATACAGGCGCCAGGAGGCTGGTGTCTAAGAGCTCGAGGGGGTCAAGCCGCTGGAGCCTGTATTTAGCTTTCGTGAGTAGCGCGAGGAGCAGAAGCCCCGCGGGAGCTCAGGTAAAATCAGCCTTGGGTTGGGGACCCTTGGCCTGTCCGAGGGGAATGACCCTGGAGATGTGACCCAGCCCTAAACAGAAGAAAATTAACATTTCAGCCAGGGGAACCTGAGCTTTGTGAAATGAAAATCGTTTTAAATCGTAGGGCAGCCCTCTCCTAAAGTCACAGAAAGGGCCATTTCCTCCACAAAGTATTCCCAGTCTCCTCTCCTCCACCTCTTAGGGCTCTGTTGGCTCCTCACTGGTGCAGCCTCCCAACTGAAAGGCTACACACAGCATTTACCTTGTAATTATACACTCCTTTTAAAATAGGAAGTACTGCTTACTGCCCATAAGAAAAGTGCCCCTGGGCTGGACAAGGGTCCCCAACTCAGGCTGTGCTTTGTATTCCGCGGAGTCTGGGCTCTCTAGGCAGCAAGCACTAAGGTGGAGAATTACAGTGCCTGGTAAGGCAGGGACCCCGCCCACTTTAAACACAGCTCTTCAGCCCTGAGAGTCTCTTGCTTAATAACAACACGATCGCTCTTCATCGCCACAGTTTCTGGGAAATATATGCAAGTGATAGGCTTTATTGGGTAAGGCCCCTTGATTTTACAAGGGGGGAGGCTTGCTGGAGATAAGCAGAAGGTGAGGCATTATATATGGTTGCATAGTATTTGTTCTGATAATATAAGAGCCAGATGTTCAACTTCCCACTTCCTAGAGAGCTTTGGTGTCCTCTCATTTCTTCCACAGAAGACGGAATCGGTACTGTCGTTTACTTACCCTCCAACCATGCACCTTTCTCTACCTGTGGGTTACTTCCTGTGGATTGTAGTGACCAAAGTAAAGCTATTGAATCTCCCAGGTGCTCTCCGATGTTCCACTTGAGACCTCCCCTGATATGTCCTTGGCTGTGGCTCTAGCTTAATCTTAGCAAGTGGCACTTTCAGATAGGATTATTTAAAAGAAAAAAGAGAGAGACACTTCTCTTTCACTCTCCACACTTCAAAATAACACCAGCCACTGTGCTTGTTCAAAGCACAAAGGTTGCCTATGGGTATAAAAAGATTATCTCTTTCTTCAAATATTTGCTTATTCAAAATAGGTAAGAGCAGCTCTGCCACATGAAAAGCCACTCCCATAGACAACGTCCCTGCACTTGGGAAACTTTTTCACTCTAAGAGAAGTAAGGTCGTGGATATGTCATCAAAAAGCATCTGTAGTACATTTACCATCTACATTTGTTTCTACAGACAGGGCACAAGCCATACGGTAGATGATTCACGATACTGCCCATGCTGAATAGGAACAACCAGAGATCTCAGGCACTACACTCTACACTTCCTCTGAACTCAGCTTTTACCAGCCAGCCCGCTCCCCCTGGAGCTGGAAACTAACAGAAAGAGATCGGTCAAATCTTAATTTGTTTGCCTTTTTATAATCTGTTCTCTCCTATATATATTAAGCAGCCTCAAGACACATTGAAAGAGTCAAGAGCTTGGGAGATAGCTCAGTAGAGTGCCTGCCTGGCAAGTGCAGGGTCCTGAGTTCAATCTGGAAAAAGAAAAAAAGAGTTTAAAAAAACCTATCAGCCACCTATATGTGATGCAAAATTACACTGAAGATAACAAGTCATGCCATTTATTCCCTTTACCATAATTTAGATATTAAAGCCATTATTGATGTCTTAGTAGTAATCAAATCATAATAGGGCTTCACAGAGCAAAAGTAATTTGTATATGCAGCATTTTGAAAGTAGTGTCTTCATACAATAGCTGAAGAAACTGAGTCAAAAGAATTTTGTATCTGACTCAGAGTTTTCTAGTCAGTAAAGGGCAGCACCAGGACATCAGCCTGAATTCTTCCAGAATAATAGCTCCTCCCATTAGAAAGTTGTTGTTGCTGCTGCTGTGGCTTAGTTTTGTGATAAAGGACTATAATTTGTTTCTCCTGAACAAGTGACTTAATATAGTCTCTCACTTGAACTCTTAGAACTCTGATCTTAGGATCAGAGAAGAGTTGGTCCACTTCATACCCATCTCTTACTTCAGTATAATCACAAAAATACTTCAAAGTTGAGTAGAGCCATTAAGGACTTGTTTTTCAAGAAAAAGAGATTCACTGTGTAGTAAGACCCTGTAGACCCTGTACTACATACAGAGAGAGAGAGAGAGAGAGAGAGAGAGAGAGAGAGAGAGAGAGAGAGATTCAGGGGCTGGAGAGAACTCAGCATTCTAAGCACTTGCCTGGCAAGTGCAAGGACTTGGGTTTGAACCTGGATGACACATGCTGTGCAAACCCCAACCTGGGCACACCTAGCAGCCACTGAGACTAGACATGGTGACAGACACCTATAATCCCAGCTGAGGGGCAGAGGAGGCTAAGACAGGAAGATCACTACAACTCTGAGAACTACAGCTAATACTATTAAAACCTACGTCTCCTGATGTCCAGACTGTTGCTGTTTCTGGCATGTGTTCTCTTGTGAATTCCCTAAACGCATAAAGTAAGAGACTTATTTTGATTTATTCTATGAGCTTGAAGTCTCCAACAGCAAGCCATCATCTTTTTGAATCCTAACCTCAAATACAGATGTTTTGTAATTTACAAAATTACTGATCCAGACAAACCATGAATTGAAAATATCACAAATCAAAAATGCATCTACTACATCTTGCTCCAAACATTTTTGCTCAGGAAAACACAGCACAGGGCAGTTCCCAGGTGGGGTCACATGACTGCTGCTGCCTAGCAGGGAAAGACTCATGCACACATACGGCACACCCAGATTAGTGTTCAAAACCTGAAACACCATTTCTACCAAATAATGCTTACGGCTTCCCACTATCTCCTAAATCGGAAACTCTAAGTCAAATCACTATACATCAAGGGCCTCTGTACTTACAGATCCTCCCAGTCTACCTATCTTCTATGAGCGGAAACATTTTATTTGTCCTAAATGATTCCTAGCACAGCGCCGTATTTAAAGGAGAAGTGGGTGCATCCAGCTTCTTCTACAACCAAGTAACAGGCACAGCCCCTGCTGGGCCTATTTGGATTCTGGACACATTGTGTGTGTTACTCTGGCCCACTGACTGAGTGATTCGGAAAGCTGCTAGTTATGACTAAGTCCCAGAACGAGACAAGTCTCTGAAACCGATTCAGATGCCTGCTCGGCCTGCTTGACCTACAGCCACATGATCCAGTGTGCTCAATATTTTTAGAGGCATTAAATATTTGTTAAATACATGTTTAAACACCTATGAGATGACCTTAGAATTTCATTCAGCTATAAATAACAGAAAACCTTGTTTAAGGTGGCTTACACAAGTAATTCATTCATTTTTCTCAGAAAGCTAGAAGTCTGGAGGGGAGAAGTTTGAGGCTGGCAAAGGCATTTCAGAACTTCACCTGAAACAGGTGGGCTGTCACAACGAGTCTCCAAGGTGCCGGTGTTTCAGCAGAAAGAAGTGCAGAACATTTAATACCAGGTGAGTCTGTTTTGCGTTTCAAAAATAGAAATAAATAAATAAAAATAGATTTTCTGGAAGTTTCCTATATCTTATTTCTAGAAATATGCTACATAACAGCTCCACCAAAAAGGGAACTGAGAAAACCCAGTGTTTTACTGGACGTGTTGCCCATGAATTCTGTGGCTAAGGAATTCTGTGACTAAGGAATGGAGGAGAGTGGGCATTGGATGAGCAAATAGTAGAGTCAGCCACGCTATGATGTACAAACCAGAGACTCTGTTTTTAAATGGGCTGGGGTTTTTTTGGTTGGTTTACCAAAAAAGCAATAGACAATGCACTGAGTCTAGGGGAACTCTTTTAAATGCTGGATTCCATGGCCTGCCCAATAAAGGCTATTACAGTTGTCCCTCTGTATACGGGTACTCTGCATTCACAGATAAAAACCAATCACAGATCAAAAAAGTGAATATACTAAATATGTATGGGCTGTTTTCCTGGCATAATTCCCTATACAAAATTCTATAGTTATTTACATAGCGTTTACATTGTATGAGGTTTTATTAAATAATCTAGAGATGATTTGAAGTACACAGGAAGATGTGTGTAAATGATAAGTACAAGTTATCCCTTTTATTATAAGGGACTTGCGCATGTGCAGTTTTGGTATTGGGGGCCTACATATAGACAGAAGACTGTACTTAGAGATAGGATGGATCTATGAATTTGAACTATAGACTGGCTTTCCAGGTCATTTGAATGCAGGTGAATGCCAGACGATGCTCTGAGAAACACTGAATTTGGAGTAGGTTAGCAAAAGTGCCTTTATTTTATTCCAAGCAGATTTCTGCCTCACTCCTCCTGAGGCTATTACTCTCTTTATTAACTTTCTACTTGCATCAAGACAAATCATTGTATTATCTTAGGAATCACCAGTTAGAGGGTTTTTCACTGAGCTCCTTGAAATGCTTTTGCTGTATTTTCTTTTGTTCTAATTGTTAACATTGTAGTTTTTGTCATCACTGGTCAGAAACTACCAACGTGTATTTTATAGGTAAGTCATTACAGTTACTGTGCCTTAATTTTGTATTTTCACCAAATAGTAAAAAATAGTCACCAAATCATTCAGTGATATTCAAATGTCTTTTTTCTTTTTCATGCTTTCACTTTTGTTTTCCCCAAATTGTATTTTGAAACATTGCCATAGATGCAGCTGGCATGTTTTCAAATCTTCCCATCATGTTTTCCTGGTACTAGATTTTTGCCTAGGGGAGTGGGCCTGTCCTTTATATGTACAGATGACCCACAGATGGCAATTTTTCCAAACATCTTTATCTGAGGTATAATGGTGCTTGACAACTCTCCACTTACATTATAAAATACTCATCATAACTATCAGGGAAGCCTTTCTACAAAGATTCTTCCCAAGACTTTCCTTTCTTATTATGAAAGACAGCATCAATTCCAAGTTTGTTTGGTTTTTTTTTTTTTTTTTCTTTCATCTTATTGGTACATTTTAGGTATAACGATCCCATTCATCATAGGAAATTTGTACCTGTACATAATATATATTGCTTTTTTCCATTCCTTTCCTTCCCCTTCAACCCCTCTTCTCCTCTTTTATAGAATCTTTGTTTACATTTTTGCCTTCTATTATGTTTTCTCTGTTTTATTTTGGTTTGTTTTGGTTTTTTTGGCAGAACCGGGGACTGAACTCAGGCCCTTGCACTTGCCAGGGAATCGCTTATTCTACTGAGCCATCTCCCTGGCCCTATTATGTTTTCTTGTTCCTTCCTTCCTTCCTTTCCCTCCTTCGCTCACTTGTTCTCATTTGAACATTATCTCCCATTTCCCAACATCTATTATATGTACATTTTGGTCCTTATTTACACATTCAGTTTCTCACACCAGAGAAATAATGCAGTATTTAAGCATGTCTGTTCGATTTATTTCACTTAAGAGTATGGTTTCAAGGTGCAACCATTTAACTAGAAATGTCTCCTTTTTTTTGGTCATGGTGTATATATAGTCTTCTTAATGACTTGCTGCATTCTATCTGCCAGTTTCCTACTGAGGATTTTTTTTATTAATTTTAATGAGAAAGAAATAGCAATGAGACAGTTTCAAAACAGGTTAGTAGGAGAGTTACAATAATCAATACATTGCATATTGTTGTCTTCGTAGTAGTTATTCAGAATACAAGATGCAGACATGACATCTTGTCTAAACACTATTAGTACAAATCTTTCTCACTGAACTAAGAGAAAGTAGCTGTATATCTATCCTATTTTGTATGAACAGATTTTTTTTCACTGTAAAATGGTCTTTCATTTATATCCCCCCTTTTTTTTTGTTTTGTCGGAGGAGTTTTGCATCCATGTTTGTTAGGGAGAATGGTCTGTAGTTCTCCTTTGAGTTGGCTCCTTCTCTGGTTTTGGTATCAGAGTAATGCTTGCTTCCAGGAATGCATCTGAGAGTACTACTTCCCTTTCAACTCACGAATTAGTTTCAGAAGTAGCAGCATTAGGTCTTCTTTAAATTTCCTGTAGAATTCCACAATGAATCTTGCAGGGCCTCCTCTATTCTTTCTGCCAGAATACTACTTCATTGTATTTAAAAAAAAATCACATCTTCTTTATCCATTTATTGGTTGATGAGCATTTGGGTTTCTATAAACATGAATATGCATATATTGCTATGGTAGAATGCTTTTAATTCTTTGGAGAAGTTACCAAGAAGGAGAACAGCTGGGTCAAATGTAATACCTAATTTTAGTTTTTTGATAAATCCCCACACTGACTTCCACAGTGGTTGCGCCAGTCAACATCCCCACAAACAGTGGAGAAGGGTGCTTTTTCTCCACAGCTGCACCAGCAATTGTTATTGGTTGATTTCTTGGTAACAGCCATTCTTTCTGGAGTGAGATGGAACCTCAGTGTCTTAGTTTGAATCTCTCAAATGGCCAGTGACATTGAAAACTTTTTCATATATTTGCTGTTCCATTTTTCAATGGAGAAATGTCTTTTTATTTCAAATGCTTATTTTTGGATTGAGTCTTTAAATTGGGTTTGTGGTGAGGGTGCTGTTTGTTTATTTAGTTCTCTATATGCTCTTGACAGTAATTCTTTGTCTGAGGAACAGGTACTAAAAACTTTTCCCACAGTGTAGGTTGTCTCTTTACTCTTGGCGGTTTCACTTGCTGTGCAAAAGCTTTTTGATATGATGAGATACCAGTTGTTGATTCTTTGTGAGAGTTCCTGTGTAGTGGAGTTTTGTTCATAAAGTCTTCACTTACACCTATGTCTACAAGATTTCTATGTATTCTTTCTTCCAGAATATTTAAGGTTTGTTTTCATATTTAGATCTTTATTTTTATTTTAACTTGGTGCATGGTGAGAGGCCTGTGTCTTATTTTAGGCTTTGACATGTTTTCCACGCATCATTTATTAAAGAGGCACTCTTTCTTCCAGATCCAGTGTGTCATACTGGCCTTATCATTTAATTGTAGAAATGTCTAATTTCTTCTTTACTTTCATCTGTGACCCACTGGTTGTTCAGGATGGTATTAATTTCCATGTAGTCTTAGTGGTTTATGTAGTCTTAGTTTATGGTTTATGGTTTCTTTTGCCATCGGTTGTCAACTTCATTGCACTATGATTTGTTATGAATAGGGTAATTTTATTGCATAGGATAATTTGCATTTACTTAAGCATATTCTATGAGCCAGTATGTGGTCAGTTTTGGAGAAAGTCCTGTGTGGTGTTCAGAAGAATGTGCATTCTGTTGTTAGGTAGAATACTCTATAGATATTGCTTTTATTTCTGTTTGTTTGGTCATCCTTTTTCTGTCTGGTTGGGTTGTTTTGCTTTGATTTTTCTCTTTGTTTTTGTTGTGTTTTAATTTTTGGTGGTATTGTCCTTTCTTTCTTTTTCCCTTTTTTTTCCTTAACTTTCCTTAGCTAAGCTCATTACCTTCCTTTTTGTTTTCTTACATTCTTTCTCTCTTTCCTCAGCAGCCCTTGAAATTATATCTTCAGGTGAGTAGACATTGTCACTTTTCTTCCTTATTCACTTCAATAATCCTAATATTTTCTCTTTCACCCTTTCTCCCATGTCCTTCAACTTCCCAAATCCTGAGTGATTATCCTTTGCCACCCAGCCTAGCTTCTTCTATATTTGACCTCAATCATTTCTATATCTTTTCCCCTCTTGATGCCAACCTTACCCCTGCAACAGGGTAAAATCACTGCATTCTAGTTGCTAGTATATGTTATATTTTGTTATATAACTATAGAATTTGATCCTATGGTCAAAGGTATTAGGTTAATAGTTACCTAATAGTTACCACAGTTTGTCAGTAGCTCAGCTATATGTGATGCTGTTGCTATTGAACTGCTTTAGCCAAGATGTCATCATGTTATAAGCAGTTTTTCTCCCTTACAAGATAACATTGATTGTTATCTGGGTCATAACAATCACCATTAAAAAAAAAATCACCATATTCCAGTACAAAAGGACTGGGTACTGAACAAAATAGCAACTTTTCATCCTCAAAAAATAGGGAAGATAGGTTCTTAAAAGTAAACATAAAGACCACCTGTCTAAGTTACTTTTATCCGGTTGCTGAGATAAAATATACAATTACCAAAGTTAAGGAAAGAAAGGTTTATCTAGTTCACAGTTTGTGAAGGTTTCAGTCCATAATCAGTTGGCTCCAAGGCAGGATAGCGTGACACAAAGGCAACAGTTGAAGGCAGCAGAAGACTGAAAAAGCAAAAAGAGCAAAAGAGGGAATAGCAAGCCACTTTTTCTCCCTTATATTGTAAGCAGGGTACCTTCTCCCAGGGCAGCTGTAGCACTCACACCATCTCTGGGCCCTCCTCTTGCACAGGATGAGGATGTTTACAAAGTGAGAACCCTGGCCCCTTGCTGAGTCAAACTTCTAAACTTCTCAAATTGATACAAACCTTAAAAAACAGACATTCTTTAGTACTAGCAATGAAATTATCTGGCATAGGAAAT